CCCCAATACGGTACAGCATTAAGTTAGAAAGGGTTAGGTTTACTGTACAGATTTTATGTAGTTAAGTGTCATATGATCAAAGTTAATCTCTTTAATTATATTTCAGGCTGGTGATTTTTAATTGCCCACTAATCTTGTCAAGTGTTGTCAGTATTAGCACCGTAACTGCTGTAAGTTGCTTTCAGTTGAGTTTGCCAGCGTTATGGAAAGGTGTTGCTGTTGTAACTAATCATACACAAGAAACCCCTCGCTGGAGGAATCAAGCAGACTTTCACCTGAGTTACAAGTCACGTTCTCCTGAAGTTTTATACTTTAGAATGTTAATTGATAACATTTACCCCAATTATAACTCCACTTATCTGCTAATTAATTTGATTTTGACCAATAGGAGCTAAGTGACCAGTTGTGCTGTTGATCACACTGTCATTTGGGTGCATTCTAGGGATGTGGAGCTGGGCAACAGAGTAAATCACATTGCTGTGGATCTGGAGTCACATGTAGGGCAAATCAGGTAAAGTTGGCAGTTTCCCATTCATGGTCATCATTAGACTATTAATTTCAGATTTTTTTTATTGAATTCAAATTCCACCATCTGTCGCAGTAGAATTTGAACTTGGGTCCCCAGCACATTACCTGGGTCTTTGAATTCACAGTCCATGATAATACCACTAGGCCGTTCCCCCCAGTCTGTCAAACCTTAGTACGTTAACATTTGTTGCACATTTCCCACACTACAACAGTTACTTAAACCACTGGCTGTAAAGTACTTTAGGATATACTGAAATTGGAAGAAGAGCCCGACCACAGCAGGAAGTCATTCAGGCCTTGAAGAGAGTTCCATAGGAAGAGCAGTAGTTTATTCAGCCCCTCAAGTCTATTCTACCGTACATTAGGATTACGGCTGACCTGTGGCCTAACTCCATATACCTGCCTTTGGCCCATATCCCTCACTACCTTTGCTTAACAAAGGATTGTCTATCTCCGACTTAAAACTAACAACTGATCCAGCATCCACTGCCATTGATGATTGATTTGTTTCTTAACTCTATCAAATCATGGTTCTACATCCTTTATTATCCTTGGCTAGTTTAAAAAAAAATCACTTTTAGATTTAAAATATTAATTGAGCTAACATCTTCTAGTTTTTATGGTACCGAGTTCCACACTACTGTTTTAAACTACTGTTTTAGAAAGTGTTTCCTATCTTCTATCCTGAAAAGCTTTGATTTTAAGGTTACAGGATGATTTAATAGTCCTGTTTTAAAATTTTGAAAGGAATTGCTAGAAGAGGTAAACACCCAGATTCAATCTCCACATGGTAATTTCCTGGGAAATTTAAACTTCTAATGGGTGGCGGCTCTGAGTTGAAGACTTTAGAGGGCTTTTATTCACTCACTTGGCCCCTGACCCTTGCTTCAAAATTTAACCAGACACTTGACAATTGGCCAAACATTTGGTTTAGAAATGCCACGTTTTTGTCTCTTGGTTTCCAATAGTTGTACTTGAGGCAGATTTGTTTCTAAAGGCTCTGTTGGTTCAATTTGAAGAAAAAGGTGGTCACTTGTTGGTCTAGGACCAGGAGGCGTAACGGCTTGAGAGTTCCACACTTCTGCCTCTTGCTGCGTGAAAATGTGTTTCCTGAATGGTCTGGCTTTGATTTTAAGGTTATGCCTCTATCTATCCTGTCAGTCTTTTCCAAAACCCTAAAAGCCTCCAAATCATTTGGCAGGCTTCTGGGCTTTCAGGAATACATGTTGCTTTAAAATCCTGTCTAAGAAAGCATGTGGCTTAAACTAAACATTTAGCAAGCTGTCTGGTGAGGTAATTGCTGAAATGTTTACCAAGTTGAGATTTTATGATCTACAGAAAGAGACAGGTGGCTGTGGGCCCAAAACAGGTTCAGTTTGGAAGAAAAGATCCATACCAGCTGAAGGGCAGTTTAAGTTTTTGACAACCTCCAGGTCAATAAGGCTGGAAAGGAGACTTGAGCTTTTTCAAAACTTCAAAGTAGTCAAAAATGCAGAAAGGTCACCAAGTTGGCCTGTCGCTGTCTCCAAGAAAAATAGACAATCACGTCTGGTGAATGTGCAGAAAGGTGTTCAAACCGAAATGCTTCCCACCTCTGTTTCATAAAATTTTAGGGTGAATCTTGGAGTGATGATTCACTGGGGTTAAGCATCTGTAAAAGACATTGCTGGGGAACAAGTGTTGAAGCTATCCTTTTGCTGTTTACGGTGAGATCTTTTGAAATGATCATGAGCATTTTTTCCCTCTTTTGTGTGATGTTCCTTTGTTAAAAATACACTAGCAATGCCATGAATATGTTGATTAACAACCAAAACGAACCAAATTGCAAAAATAATGCTTTTGATCTATTAAGCCAGATTTTGCTCTGGAACTTGAGTCGTCCAATTTTACCAATGGCCTGTTTAATCTTAAATTTGACTCTTCGAGCCCTGTTAATATTCTGGTATTGCCAGTGCCAACATGTATTCAAAGTGCAGTGTCCAGAACTGTGCGCAGTACTCATGTTTGTGTTTTTAATGCTATTTTCTTTGTTCTTGATTCGTTCCAACCTTCCAGCGTTGTTAGCAAGATTGCACAGTTTCATTTTAAACCCTCACATCATTTTTTGTCTACTTAGGACAATGTTTGACTCCTGTTTGCTTCAAAAACTGTTAGTGATTTCTGTATCTGGGAATATTGCAGACCATGCATAAACTGGCTGCATTTCTTTAGTGTGAGGCCCATTCTAGTACTGACAGTAAACTTGCTTAGTTATTGCAAAGGTGCCAATTACTGAATTTCCTATCTAAACTCCAATTTACAAAATTATCGATCCAGGAAGTTCCTATTGTTTAACAGACATGGGGGTGGCCTGATGAAATTTCAACAATCAAGAGGTGTTGAGTGTAATTATCCTCCCTGTTCGTATTATCAAATCTCTGCTCCCTATGGCTCTTACCGTCTTACTCCTGCTAAAGGATCTAACTTTGACCCATCATTTTTACAAGGGCTCCTGACAGTCAAGGCAATTTCCACAAGTAGAGAAAGTCATGCATGGGAGTCAGTTAGCTCAGTTGACTGGCAGGTTTTCAATACAGAATGACTTCAACAACGTAGGTTCCATTCCCGCATGAGTTGAGCTACCAGAACGAAATCTCCTTCTCAACCTCTCTCCTTGCTTGTCGTGCAGTGACTCTCAGGTTAAACCACCGCCAGTTGTGTGTCTCTCTGAGCAGCCCTCTGATCCAGTAAGGCTATGGTGACTAATTCATGTGTAGGGCAATACCATGTCCCAATCATTGAAAGAGGATCCATAGGATGTCCGCTCCCACCCTTCTTTCTGCCTGAGAGGCACATTGTAACATTATTCAACCAAGATTCTTGTAAGTAAAATATAAGCTGGGGGAGAAAAGCATGTCATTAACCTGTACGAAAGGTGAAAATGCTAGAAATTTCCAGCAGATCAGACAGCATCCAATGTCTGAGAATATCAGACTTAATGTTTCAATTTTGTGACAATAGATCATTCATCTGGTAGTGTAGCTTTTGGGTTTCATAATCCATAGAAGTACAGAATTGTTACAGTGCAGAAGGAGTCCATTTGACCCATCGTGCCTGCAGAGGTTCTGTTATTTAGTGTCAATCTCCTGCATTTTCACCATTCAAAATCATCATAGTCTCTACGTTATTAACTCAACCTTCAACGAATTTGCAGTGATACATATAGAGGCTTCTTAGCAACTCGCATGATATAGGCAGCGCTAAGCTCAAAAATGAAAGTGTATTGGTTGATCATTCTGGTCACTGTCTTTTTTTTAGCTGTTGAAACCAAACCTTGTCCTGAAGCAGTGTTTGATATTATTTTATAAACATCCTTGATGATTCACCTGTTTAAAATGCAGTGAATTTACTTACTTTCAACTCTTTAGCCACTTGAATATTTGCCTTAATGACAATGTTTCCATCTCGTGAATTAGAAGGACAATACTGTGGACAGTGGAAATCTGAAATAAAAGCATAAAATACTTTGCTGTAGTATTTCAAGTGCTTTTTGTTTCATTTGAATGAGGTGGTCCTGGAATAAGTTTCATTCCAACTCGTTCTGGCATGAGAAAACAGAGCCCTTGTTCAGAATTCTAGGTTGACATCCAGCAGGATAGTGTGTTCCACTACTTCACAGTGCTCCACCAGAGAAGAGCATGAAGACATGAAAGCACCAGTAGTGCCATTTTGTTGATTGGTCTGTGAATCCTTCAATGACGTCACACTGTTCTCCTAGGGCCAGATTGAAAAACAACTCATGCTAGCAATTCAGTCTGGTCTAGGCCTGCAGTTTATATATAAAATACTGTTTTTGTTCAGAGCACTAACAATTTGATCTTCAAGCAGCAAGCTCGTTCATCCAGATCAAATAATTGGCTTATGTTCGCAGACAAACGGGCTCCAGTTACCATTTTGGAGTTTGCCAGCAACCAATTTCCACTTTCTGCTTTGCTCCATTCAAAGTTATTAGTTTAGAAATGTTTACCCATTTGTAGCTTTTGTCTTGCACGCAACTAATGTCCATTCCAATGCAGCTGCCTAATTTATCTGTTGTATTCCAGATTTGGTTATTATAATTTGCTCTAAATCGTCCATTTTGAAATGCAGTGTGAATTTAAGTGAAACGTATTCTCTTGTGATGTTAGCTCTATTGCATTCAGATTTTGTCTGTATTTCCAGTTCAGAATGATACCAATATGGATGGTTTAGCCTTTAAACAGACTCAAAAGCTTGCTTCCCATTAAATTACTATAAAATGTAAAGGTAAGCCTGATAAATACTCATTCTATTGTTTTAAACATACTCCAATAACATTCCCCTGCTGGTATCTCTTAAGGTGTTCATTTTCAAAGGAGTAGCAAGTGAAATGTCTTTCAAACCAATCTCAGACTTTAGTTTCCAGATGTATTGGTACGTCACATTTAACTCTAGAACTGTGTTTCTTTTTTTAGAGCTGTTCATCGACTGGAAACAGAATGCAGATGAAGTCATAGTGAAGCTGAAGTCAGGAGAGGGGAACCTGAAAGTTGATGAGGTTGATGCAGCTTTCACAGACACTGACTGTGTGGTTACACTGCCAGGTGAGAACAGTAAATTTTACGGCAGCGAAATTGTGGCTGATCATAATTCCGGTCTCGTACGGACAGGAGCAGTGTCCAGGATGTGATCATGTCTGTATGAGGCCAACTCATCAAGTGCCTTACCCTTTGTAGGTTCTTTATTGGTCCCCTTTTTAATCCTGTATTTAATTGTATACACCAGACCCTGGCCTCTTGTCTCTAGTGTTCTTAATTTTTTTTTTTTGCTGAGAATACTGCTGTGATATTTATCCTGTTGTTTCCTGTACATTAACTATTCACTTAAATCTGTCTCCCTATAACACTTATGGTGTTGCATAGCAACAGTGCTGCTGTTGGCTGGAGGGACAGACTTGTATTTTCCCGGGGCTAATAGATTCTCTGACTACTGCTAACTTCCCACTAAACTATGACTATTAATAAACCATTCATTCTGAGACAGAGTGATCTCTTTTAGTAATTCTTCACTGTCTCTATTACCTAAAACCCTCCCCAGACTTCTCAGGACAGGACTCAGTGGAGTTGTTCTCCCTATACAATTGAACTAGTTCACTCTTATCATTATGTTCTTCTTTCCCCTTATCCAGTTGCTACCCATCTAGAAAGAAACTACAAAACTCTTCGACCATTCATTAAAAACAGTACCGTTGATGAGAGTTTGTTGTATGTGGCGCTGCGTTATTCCACAACGTGAATAAGCAAAGATTTTAATTTAATTTAATGCATACGTTATACTCTGTCTTTTACATTTCTTAAATTCTAACGCTTTGCTGATACAGTTTCATCATTGTGTGAGAGACATATGTGTTGGATCTAAAGCACTGGCCGTTATGATTTTGCACAAAATAAATTGTATCAACACAGACCCCCAAAACACGTTGTAAATTGCAGTAGTCAATTATGGAGTTCAGGAAACATTCTGAGGTTTGCTCTCGCACTTCATCATGACTAGGTAGCCTCCTTTGGCATTAAAGATGGAATAAGGGCCAATTATAGCGTTGGGGTGATGGTAGTTAGGAGGACAAAATACCATCTAAGCAGGATGCTCAGATATAATTTAGTACCCATTATAAATTTAGAATTCTCTTTGCGAATGTAATTTAATTTTATATTTTATTATAGTCAGATATATAAACTTGTGGGAGTACCTGTACAGTTCTATTCTGCATCTTTTTTTACAGTCCAATTTTGACTCCCTTGTTAATGTTGTAGATGGATGCCGGTGGAGTTGTCACTTCTATGAAGAGATTGAGAGTTCATGCAGCAAACTGCAATACAAGGAGAAGGGGAACTTCCTCCAGCTCATCATGCCAAAGAAGATCCCTCTGCGCACATGGCCATCCCTCATGGTACAGTGGTCAACAATATGTGTTACAACTGCTATCCCTAACATGAAAGGGTGGCATCAGCTAGGGTTAAAATAAATTATATTAGCGTGTATTGTTTGGGTGGCATTAAACTTTGATTTTAAAAGCTTCATGGTTAGAGGAGAAAGGGAAGGCTGTGGTCACAAAGAAATGTCAAGGCCTTGTGAAAGAAGAACGGAGTACATGACAGGATACATATTGACTGGGTGGCAGGAAGACTGCCGTTCATAGATCACATGGGATCTAGGCCAGCCAATTGGATACAAAATTAGCTTGAAAGGAGGAGAAAAATGGTGGTGGTAGAGGAATGCTTTTCAGACTGGAGGCCTCTGACCAGCAGTGTGCCACAAGGATCAGTGCTGGGTCCACTACTTTTCATCATTTACATAAATGATTTGGATGTGAATATAGGAGGAATGGTTAGTAAGTTTGCATGTGACACCAGAAGGGCTGGTGTAGTGGACAGTGAAGAAGGTAACCTCAGAGTACAATGGGACCTTGATCAGATGAGCCGAGGAGTGGCAGATGGAGTTTAATTTAGATAAATGTGAGCTGTTGCATTTTGGTAAGGCAAATCCGGGCAGGACTAGTACAAGTGAGTGATGGAGCCCTGGGCAGTGTTGCTGAAAAAAAAAGACCTAGGTGTGCAGGTGCATAGTTCGTTGGGAGTAGTGAAGAAGGTGTTTGGCATGCTTGCCTTCACTTGTCAGACCATTGAATATAGGAGTTAGGATGTCATGTTGCAGTTATACAGGACATTGGTGATACCACTTTTAGAATACTGTGTACAGTTCTGGTCACCCTTCTGTAGGAAGGATGTTGTTAAACTTGAGAGGCTACATAAAGGGTATACAAACATATTGCTGGGACTGAGGGTTTGAGTTGTAGGGAGAGGCTAATTAGGCTCAGGCTTTTTTCCTTGGAGTGTCGGAGGCTGTAGGGTGACCTTAGAAGCTTATAAAATCATGAGCAGCATGGGTAGGGTGAACAGCTGAGGTGTTTTAATAGGGTTGGGGGGGGGGGGGAGTCCAGAACTACAGGGCTTAGGTTTAGGGTAAGACAGAAAAGATTTAAGAAGGACCTGAGGCGTAACTTTTTTTACCCAGAGGGCGGTGCGTGTATGGAGCGAGCCGCCAGAGGAAGTGGAGGAGGTGAGTACAGTTGAAACATTTAAAAGGCATCCGGATGGGTATATGAATAGGAAGGGTTTAGAAGGATGTGGGCCAAATGCTGACAAATGGGCCCAGGTCAGATTGGGATGTCTGGTTGGCACAGACGAGTTGGACTGAAAGGTGTCTTTCTGTGCTGTATGACCGTATATACGACTTAACATCCTATCTGAATGCCTCAAGTCTTTTCAAGGTGTAATTACTATTGTATGTAAGAATTACAGTAACCAATTTCCAAACAGCAAGATTCTACAAGCCACATGAGAAAAATGAGCACACAAAAACCAATTATGTCTAAAACTGATGGTTCAGGAAGGCAAAGGCAATGTTGGCATTTATTTTGAGAGGACTTGAATATAAAAGCAGGGATGTACTCCTGAGGCTTTATAAGGCCCTGGTCAGGCCACATTTGGAGCATTGTGCGCAATTTTGGGCCTCATATCTCAGGAAGGATGTACTGGCCCTGGAGCGGGTTCAGAGGAGGTTCACGAGAATGGTCCGAGGAATGGAAAGCTTAACATACGAGGAACGTTTGAGGACTCTGGGACTATACTCATTGGAGTTTAGAAGGATGAGGGGGGGATCGAATTGAAACTTAAGGAATACTGAATAGCCTGGACAAAGTGGATGTTGGGAAGATCTTTCCATTGTTAGGAGAGACTAGGACCCGAGGGTACAGCCTTAGAGTAAAGGAAAGGCCTTTTAGAACGGAGATAAGGAGAAACTTCTTCAGCCAGAGAGTGGTGAATATATGGAATTCACTGCCACAGAAGGCTGTGGAGGCCAGGTCATTGAGTACATTTAAAACTGAGATAGATAGGTCCTTGATTATCAATGGGATCAAGGGTTATGGGGAGAAAGCGGGAGAATGGGGTTGAGGAACTTATGAGCCATGATTGAATGGTGGAGCAGACTCGATGGGCTGAATGGCCTAATTTCTGCTCCGATGTCTTATGGTCTAATCTGTTTTGCTGATGTTGGTTGATAAATATTAGCCAGCAGAAGGAGAAGAACTTCCTTGCTCCCCTTCAGGTAGTGCCGTGAGATCTCTCTCATCAGTCTGTGGGATTACAGGGCCCTTGTTTGGCACCTCTGACCATGTAGTACTGTTCCATGTTCTGGCCCTTGTCAATCTGGATAATGGAACTCAAATTTGTGGAGTGGGATTTGATCCTCTAACCTCTGATTCAGAGATCACGAAATTAAAAAGGAACAGGAAAGAAATTAAAGGCCGTGTTTTGGCACACAAATTTAACAAAGGTGAAGTTTGAAGATGACCTGTTCACTGTGATATTGGTTAAACGGAGAGAGAGGAGGAAGTTTAAAAGAAAAATTCTAATACGGGGATTGAAGTTAGAAATTAAAAGTACGAGCAGGATTACATAGCAATTCAGGTCATAAGTGGGCTTTGTTAATCTGAATCGTGAACGGAGAAGCAAAATTTGAAGTAAAAGAAATTTTATTGGCATTTGCTTTCGCAACAGAGGACGACTTATCTTCTGGAAACCAATTAATCTGTATAATTTTATTTTGAATACAAGCAGCTCAAATGAAATTTGATTTGAATGTTAAATTGTGGAAAGTTCAAGACAACAAACTAATGCAAGTTTAGAAAATGTTTCGGTAATCCATGGCAAATTAACACTTTATAATAAAGTATTTGGCTGCATCCATGTCACGCTCTGGGCACCAGTTCAAGAATAGTAATCATTACACTTGACTGAGTAGAACTGGCCAGCCTCCAGTTCTGCTGTCATGGCATTTTGGGACAAAAGAAATTGTAACTTTTACCAAAATTTGTTGTTAATAGTTTTGGTACCCTATCCTTCTGCACACTGGAGCTGGGTGATACAGTGATTCTCACACTATGACTGGGGGGTCTAATGACTTATCGCACAGTCCATATTAACACTGATACTGAAAGTTACTAAGTATGATCACGTTCTTTCACGCTACGTCCTGGGTGGTACAGATGATTTCCGCATAATCCTTCAAGTACCTCTTGTAGTGAAAACATAACATGTTGCAGCCACAGAAAGAAAAGCTTTTCCGATCAATAACTTTTTCTCAACTGGAAGAAGGTTAAAGTTTGTAATCAAACTTACACCCAGGAAAACGTGATGGGTATAGAAACAAAGGATTGAAGTGTAGAACAGGAATGATGACATCCAGTTATTGGAGGATAATGGATGCATTCTGTTTATATTTTGATCTGGGATTTTGGTTTTACTGTACAAGAGAGCATTCTTCCGCTGTGATCTTTATAGCTGGAGATTTCTCAGCTTGAGATGACTTTGACTTAGTCACTAGAGAAAGAGTTAGTAATTAACACTCTGAAAATTGATTGACAATATTGGCTTCAAATATTTGTGTTGAAACATCAGTCAAATGATTTTCTGTATCTTCCTTGTACCTAAATGAGCCTCAGTTGCTGCGAAGCTCCTAAAAAGCATTAGAATCAACAATATAGAACCAAAATTGCACATGGCCTCAAACTTTGCTACTACCTGATACTGACTTGCTGATGTGAATTTTTTAATGACATCATCTCATGGCATTTTAGGGATGGACAATAAATGCTGCCATGGCCAGTTATACTCTCATCCCAAGAACGTATAAAGAACATAAGAAGTTATGATCTGGAATGCATTGTCTTGGTGGTGGAAACAGTCATTTTCAAAAGAAAATCAGAGAAAACTTTGAAAAGGAAAAATTTGCAGAGCTATGGGGAAAAGGCAGAGGTAGTAGAGCGAATTGGGTAGCTCTTTCAGTTGTGGCAGAACCACAAAGGACGACTAAATAGTCTCCTTCGGTACTGTATAATTATGTGATGCAGTTATTGGCTATCCCAAAGTTGGCCCCTTCACTTGTAATTGCAATGGAAATTTTACGTGGAATTTGCATGCCAGTTTATTTTACTGAGCCAAGTTATGCAACTACTATTGCAGTTATAAATTGTCTCAAGGCACTTCATGTAGAAGTGGGATCTCGGTAATCAAAAGACAAGTGATTCCAATTGTCATTGTTCGCAGCTCCAAAAATGCGCTTTCTATCTTGTCTTATTTTTAGGCTGTTTGTTTTAATCACACAAGGCTGTCTCGCATCCATACACCTGGCAATGAGTGCCAGTTGTATTTCATACAGGTATCTCTGTGGCAATTGTCTTGCCAAAATATCTGGCCAATGTGCCAGCAGAGAAATTAGGTACTTTTTTTGAAACACCAAATCATGCTGGAAAATGCACTGCCTGATATAGTGGAAGCTGATGTAATTGTAAACATCGAATGAGAATTGGGTCAATACTTGCAGAGGGAAACAATTCTGGACAGTTGGGGAAAGAGCAGGGGAGTGAGACAAATCGGATAGTTTTTCAGAGGCATGATGGACCTAATGTACAGCAAGATTCTGGTTTTTTAAACTGTAATAGGTGAATGCATGTTTTATTTTGACCCCTTTGATTATATTTTGCAGAAGAAGGGTAAAGAACAGACTGCGGTGATTCTGCCCAGAAATACTGGGAAGGAGAAGACTTTGTTAAGCGAAGAAGTCACTGAAGAGGTGAAACCAGGAGAATCTTCGGACAGCACTGAGAAGAGGAAAACAAAAGCTGAGCGCAGGCTGAAACGTCCAATCAATGTGAAAGTGTCGGGAAAGATGGAATCGCCTCCTGAACCTGGGGTGAAGCGTACCATCCAGTGCAAAGATCCAGACAACACTCCAGTCATCCCTGAACCAGTTCCAACACAAACTGTTTTAGTGAAGCCCCCAGAAGGAGTGGATGCTGCTTTTCTTGAGAAGGACATAACATCTGCAGTATGTCCAAAAAGCCTTGCAAGTGAACTGCGTACCAGTGATGCTGATGGAGGTCTGACTGATCCTTTGGTTGAGAATAAAGTGAAGAGAAATGGTCGTGGTCCCCAGGGAGACTGGCACATGGAGGATAAAAGTGGTATGGCAAATACTGTCCGAGCTTCGGCTGAAAAAGCTGAGGTACGTTGCCTAACATGGCTGCATTTCAACTCGCGTAATCTAGTGGTGATCCTTACACGGTGGGTGTGAATTTGATAGTGTAGGGATCATGTCACAGAATTACAGATCTTGCTTAATCAGCAGAACGTGCGTCCATATCTCTTCAAGATGTGTAAAAAAATGGAAATGTTGATTTTTGACATAAGCAATATATGGAATAAAGTGAAATAAAAACTGAAAGAACTGTAGATGTTGTAAATCAGAAACAAAAACATAAGTTGCTGGAAAAACTCAGCAGGTCTGGCATCACCTGTGAAGAGAAATCAGAGTTAATATTTCATGTCTAGTGACCCTTCCTCAGAATTGATGTTAGCTAGGAAAATATCGGTTTATATGCAGAGGATAATTTGGGGGAACGGGGTCAGAAGTAAACAATAGGTGGGGATAGAGCCCAGAGAGAGAAGTGAACATTTTGACAGACAAAGGAGTGGATAACGATCTGGCTAGGAGGGTGGATTGCTGTTAATGGAGACAGCTGCTCTTGGCGCATCCGGAGATCCACACTCAGTGCCATCCGATGTCACATGCACAGTCTTGACCTTTTCTGTCCAACAGCATCGCGTCACGCTGGCTCAGGGCTGTACCACTGTGTAGTTCCACTTTATCCTCCAGCTCATTTGCTGTGCTAACAAGAAACCTTTCCTTTCAGGCATCAAGGCCCACAAGATGCAACAACTCAGAGATACTCCTCGCCCTCTGGAACCTTCCTTCCCTTCCCCTCCACTTCCCTCTGGCTCCATCCCCTCCCCAAACCCCCCCATCTCTTGTCTGCTATTCACCACCCCACCTAACCTTCCGCTTTCCGATGCTGAACATTCTGTACTCAGCAAAGGTCTCCGCTTTATCCCTCTGCGTCCCCACCCTAACGAGTTTCGGGCACAACATAACATTTGAACTTTTCTTCCATCATCTTCGCCTCTGTGCCCATTTCTTTGGCCAAGAGTCCTCTCCCTGTCCCACAGACCCTTTCACCCAGTTCCAACATTCTCCCTCCACCTGGACCCTTTCCTCTGGCCTTTTACCTGCACTTGATATGTTCGTTGAGAACTGTTGACATGACATTGGTCGCCTCAATGTCACCAAATCCAACCTATCTCCGTCCGAACTGACATCTAGATCCAACCCTGACTTTGTTATTAAACCTGCCAATAAGGGTGGTGCAATTGTAGTCTGGCATACTGACCCCTACATTGCAGAGGCTGAGTGCCAGCTCTGAGATACCTCATCCTTATCTTCCGCTGGACCAAGGCCCCACCATGGCACATTAGGCCATTGTATCAAACATGGTCACTGACCTCATTTCATCTGGTGATTTCCCCCTTGCTGCCTCCAAGCTGATAATTCCCTAAACCAGCCCGCTTCTACCTCCTTTCGAAAATCCACAAACAGGACTGCCTGGGCACACCCATTGTTTCAGCCTGCTCTTACCCCACAGAACTCCTCTCTTCCTGCCTTGACTCAGTTTTTTCTCTCCTGGTCCAGTCCCTGCCCATGTACATCCATGATTGGTCTGTCGCTTTGCACCAGTTTTGGAATTTACAGTTTGCAGGTTCCAGCTGCCGCCTCTTTACCATGGATGTGCAATCCCTTTACATGTCCATCCCCCACCAGCATGGCCTTGGGGCTCTCTACTACTTGGAGCGAAGGCCTGAACCGTCCCCACCCACCACCACCCTCCTTCGCTTGGCCATCCACAACTCTTTCTCCAATATATCAAAGATATGATCGGTGCTGTTTCCCTGTCTTCCTGAATTGGAAAAGTTCATTGATTTTGCTTCCAATTTTCACCCTACCCTCCCTTTCACCCGGTCTATCTCCGACTCTTCCCTTCCCTTCCCTTCCTCGACATCTCTTTCAATTTCTGGGGACTGGCTACTAGTATGCACTATTAAGCCACCGACTCCCTCAGCTACTTGCACTATACATCCCTGCTTCCTGTAAAGACTCCATTCCTTTCTCCCAGTTCCTCTGTCATGTATGTTCTTAACAGGCCACCTTCAACAAGGGAACCTTGGAAATATCCACCTTCTTCCTCAACCGAGGATTCCCCAGGACCATTTGTCAACAGAACCCTCAATCGGGTCTGACCCATCTCCCACATGTCAGCCCTCACACTCGCTCTTTCCTCCCACAACAGCGATAGGGTTCCGCTTGTCCTTCTCCACTGTCCCAAAAGCATCCACATCCAGAAGATCATCAGCCACCATTTCTGCTACAAAAACAGAAGTTACTGGAAAAGCTCAGCAGGTCTGGCAGCATCTGTGAAGAAAAAATCGGAGTTAACGTTTGGGGTCCTGTGACCCTTCCTCAGAATCACCTCCAGTGACATGCCACCACCCGACACCTCCCCTCCCTTGTTTGCCCTCTGCAGAGACCATTCGCTCTGGGACACACTGCTCCACTCTTCCTTCACCCCCAACAAGCCCCCCCGGCGCTTTCCCCTGCAACCGCCAAAGGTGTGACATCTGCCTGTTTACCTCCTCCCTCCTCAGTATCCAAGGTCCAAATATTCCTTCTAGGTGAAACAGCACTTTACGTGCATTCCTGACAATCTAGTCTATTGCATTCGCCACTCACAATGCGGTCTCCTCCACACTAGGTGACAGCTTTGCAAAAAAGACCCCGAGGTTCCGGTTGCCTGCCACTTTAACAAACCAACCTGTTCCCTGGTCAACATCGCTGTATCAGGCTTGCTGCAGTGTTCCAGCAAAGCTCTGCGCAAGCTGGAAGAACAATACCTCATTTTCTGCTTGGGGACCCTGCAGCCCTCCTGACTCAATATCGAGTTCAATAATTTTAGGGCCTGAACTCTCCCATGTCCTAGCTCCCTATATGACACACCAGGCAGGCCTTGTTATCATAGTGTTCTGCTATTCTCACAGTGCTTGATGTTGGACCTATGATATGTTTTGCTGGAAAGTTCTGTTCTGTACTCATAATTTTAAAAGTGCAAATAATCCAAGCAACTGGATTTATTTGTACTGATTCCTTTTTAATTATAAAATGTACAGTGTTAAAGTGCAGATATTAGTTAATTTACTGAATAAAAGCAGAATTTCTGTAAGATCTGGGAGTTGAGGCCCGTCACTTTCAATAAGCAAGTCGAGATTACAAACAAATGAAGACTTGCCAGTGTCTCCTAAATCTCACGAACAAATAATTAATGCAAGTGTTAGGGTCCTAAATACAAAATATAACTTTTTTTTAAAAATCGAGAGAACTTTCATTACCTAGTGTGTGATGAGATTGTGAACTTGCTATCACATTGAAGTGAAAGGTATTGATACATTTGAGGTGGAATTGTGTAAACATGAGGGAGAGAATGTGATAGAAAGTTGTAGTGATACTGGGGAGGGCATGTGGCATGCAAGCATCGATAATGACCGATTGGGGATAAGTGGGTTGTACATACTGTATAACATCACGAGCCATGCATTCAAACCAATGCTTGCCACTATGCTCAAAGCACACTTCTGCCTGGGTGGGATAGGGTAGCTGACCTCCTGCAGAGTTGCTTGCATGTGGACTTGAAAAATAAGTCTGGGAAAAATCTATATGGAAGATATAAAGTTGAAACAGGTTTTAATTTTTCTCAGATTAGGGAAAGGAGAAGAGATTATTCCTTGATCTGCACAACAAAACCATTGAGTTGGCAGAATATTGTTGTGTTATGATACAGCACCGTGTTCACTGTCTGACAGCTGTTTCTTCAGGTGCTGGAGGAAGTAGCTAAATAATAGGCATTCTGTTAATGATGATACTGCCAGCAGACAGGGAGTTGGTCTCTCTCAGACATTTCATAAATTCACGGCCGTGGCAACAGCACAACAAACACCATTCTTTTTCCTACTTTGCCTCTTTCTGTAGTTCAGATTTTATTGTATGTTGCACCAGTTCGATTGACATTCAAATTCCTTTGTTTTTATTGCTTTCTGATGTGACATATTTCATTTCAATTCTTTTTATATAACCTTTTTATACTCAACAACAATAATTTGTATACTTGTATAGGACCATAAGATGTAGAAACAGAATTAGGCCATTCAGCTCATCAAGTCTGCTCATGAGATCACGGCTGACCTGATAATCTCCCTTCCAGTTTCCAGCCTTATCCCCATAACCCTTGATTCTCTTGCTGATTAAAAATCTATCTTTCTTGGCCTTGAATATACTTACAAGCCCAGCATCTACAGCCCTTTATGGTAAAGAATTCCACAGACCGTCTACCCTCTAAGAGGAAAAAAAAATTCCTCCTTTATCTCGATTTTAAATGTGTGACCCCATATGCTGAGATTATTCCCTCTGTTCCTAGGACTCTCCCACAAGGGAAAACAACCTCTGCGTCTACCCTATCAAACCCCCAAAAAATTTTGCTTCAGTAAAGTCTCCTCCCATTCTTCTAAACTCCAATGAGCACAGGCCCAACATATTCAACCTCCATACCCAGGATCAACCAAGTGAACCTTCTCTGCCAGTATATCTATCCTTGGATAAGAGGACTGAAACTGCTCAGTGTTCTAACTGTGATCTGACTCGTGCCTTGTATAGTTTTAGCAAGGCTTCCCTGTTTTTATGTTCCATTTTTATGCTTTAGGTGAAGATTTTTCCAATTGTTTGTGTTGACTTCCTGATTTCGTTGCTAGTTTGCCCATTGGATCAGTAACTAACCTTTCTTAGGACCTAAGGATTTCGCTTTATTATCTGTTGTCAGTTGGCTTGGAAGCAATTAGTATATTTTGATGTTAGCAGTAGAGATGTAAAATAGTAAATGGTTAAATGATAAGTGTTGATCTTCCTATTAATGTTTTGCATTTAATTTTATTCGTTGGCTTTAAGTATTTTGAGACATCATCATGTCACATGGAAAAATTCAACAAACCTATTAGGATTTAGTGAATTGTTTTCACATTAGGAAGTACACCTGTATTCTGCAAATGGAAAATAAAAAAGGATTGCTGTTTGATACATACGATTGGCCGGGTTTACCCTGTGGAGCGCAGGTTACTGTGTACTGTATCTATTTGGCTGTTGGTTCATGGAGATCCAAGTGTGGTTTCCACCTTTACTGAGGCCACTAAGCTGCAACCATCTCTCAACCATCCACAATTGTAGTGGATACTTTGGGGGGCTTACTGTTTTACACTCTGTCCTCAATGCCCATTTGCAACAATTTCCACCAGGGATAGTTGTGAGGCATCTTTCCCTAGATATACTTCTGTGCAACTTCTCATGACACAGACGTCATGCCTTTTAAAGCTGGTTTTAGCTGAGATTCGGTGGAGCCAAACCTATACCTTCCAACATACCAGCACTGGATTGTTGTAAAATACAAGTCTTCAAGGAATTTTTGTTGTTAAGCTCACCTATTAAAATTTAAACAGTTAACAAGATACGATTTTAATAGTTTAAATGGATGCATTTTTAACAATGTCTGCATCCTTAACTAACAGTGCCAGTTACAGAAAGAAATGCATAAATCTGGGCTCTGGACAGTGTTGTCGCGGCCATGTTCTTTGCCCATTTTGTTCTGCAAAGGTGGTCACATTAGAGGACAGTCTGTCATATCGTATCAGTAGACTCATTTTGGTGAATCAGTTGGCTTTTATCATCCAGCAAATTATATTGTTTCAAACTTGCAACTTGTCAAGATCTGAGTTTAGCCTCTTGATCCAGTACCTGAACAGTCCACTGCTGTAGCCTCATGAGTTGTCATTTAGATTTGTAATGATGAATGAAATTCATAAAAAGCTGTATGTTAGGACTAAAGGTAGGCGGTATGTTCTCTGTGGCTGGGACAGAACTGGCCCAGTTATGATATTATTTTGTTTGTCAGTCAGCTTTTCTAAACAGAGAGGATAGTGAGTGGCTGGGGAATGTGCTGAAGCTGTGTAGAGTCCTGGCAAGGTGCATGTGAATTACTGGCTACAGTGGTGGATGCAAAAATGGTGGCATGGTGACTCAGCGGTTAGCACTGCTGCCTCACAGTGCCAGGGACCCAAGTTCAATTCCACCCTCGGGCGACTGTCTGTGTGGAGTTTGCACGTTCTCTGTGTCTGTGTGGGCATCCTCTGGGTGCTCTGGTTTCCTCCCACAATCAAAAGGTGTGCAGGCTAGGTGGATTGGCCATGCTAAATTGCCCGTAGTGTTCAGGGATGTGTAGGTTAGGTGGATTTTTGGGGGTTGGGTCTGGGTGGGATGCTCCGAGGGTCGATGTGGACTTGTTGGGCTGAAGGGCCTGTTTCCACACTAGGGATTTTTTTTAAAAAATTTAAAAATGTAAAAGGATGTATGTACCCTAGTGAGTTGTAGAAGAAATCAAATGACGCTGCCCCATTATCAGAGAGGAGAGCTTACAACAGAGAACTCCTCCACCATCAAGAGATTTCTGATGGGTCATAAGCAGGTTATATGAGATACCAAACAGCAAAGAGATGATGAAACTAAGCTGTACTTGGACATAGCAAGGGCATGAAAGAAAACATGATCAGACAGATTTAGTTCAAATGTTTTGAGGGATATGGGCCAAATGCTGGCAAATGGGACGAGGTTAATTTAGGATATCTGGTCCTAAATAGAAGAGTTGGACCAAAGGGTCTGTTTCCGTGCTGTACATCTCTGACTCTAAGACTCTAAGTGCAAGATTTATTTTAAGCAGAGGATAAGGTAAATGATAGGTTGTCAGTTTAATCAGTGTGGGAAAATGAATGCAGTGAGCAGCTGTTGCATGAGTGGAAAGATCCCCTGCCTCCCCATCTCTGTCATTACCCAACACCTCCCCAGCAACCAGACGATGGTCACTTACTTTGCTGTGTCATATTTTGTCTAACTAGACTCATCTTTAGTGCCTTGGGATGTTTTCCTATAATAAAGGTATAAAAATACACCTTGTTGTGGAAGATGCATTAACGTTCAGGAAGCGAGAGATCAAATGTATCTGTGCCCTCCTGAAGTGGTCTCATGAAGAACTGGCCTGTAAGTGTTGATTGAAACACCAATTAAATCGCCAGTGACAATAATGCCTGTATTTTCTTTCCAAAGATCGATGTGACTGAGAAAGAGAAACTACTGCCCAAGAACCAGGATGTCAATACGGTAACAGATGGCTTTCTCTGTGAAGCTATGGCAAAGTCTTCAAATGTAGGTGTTCCTATGGAACAGATAGTCAGCGCAGCAGAGTTTGAAACTCGGGAACCTGCTGGAGACAGACTTGGGCTTTCTGAAATAGCATTGGAGGAACCTCTGGCTCAGAGTCCTTCTCTGCACAGGAACTTGGTTGCAACATCTTTTGGGAAGCAGACAAACTCTGAACAAATAACTGGGGAAACGCTCCCAATGGAAAGACCTCTGGAGGATGCTGCAGTACTGCCTAGCTCAGCTGTGGGGAATACCAGTCAGAAAAAGGAGGATGCCAAGGATCAAGTTGAAGGTAATTTGTTGATGCACATTTTAAAATATTTTATGCAGAAAAGTAGAATGGAAACACTTCAGTTTTCATCAGTTTTCTTCGTTCTGTTAAATCACGATGCAAAGAATGAACATTAAACGGAAATGAGCCATTCAATCCAAATAAATCTGTGGTGTTATGCTTCACATGAACTTCCTCCCCAACCTACTGCATCTAACCTCATCAAAACATTTTTGTTACTTCCTCATACTTAGCTGGTATCTTAAATGTACTGATGCAGTCTCAGTTACAGGCTTCAGTTTTGGTGTCTCCTGCAAGTGGAAGCAATTTCTCAGCATAGAACATAGAACAGTACACCACACTCTGTGTAAAGAACCTACCTCTGACATCTCCCGTAGACCTTCCTCCAATCACCTTAAAATTATGCCCCCACGTGATAGCCATTTCTGCCCTGGGAAAAAGGTCTCTGGCTATCTACTCTATCTATGCCTCTCATCATCTTGTACACCTCTATCAAGTCACCTCTCATCCTTCTTCGCTCTAATGAGAAAAGCCCCAGCTCCCTCAACCTTTCCTCATAAGACTTGCCCTCCAGTCCAGGCAGCATCCTGATAAATTTCCTCTGCACCCTCTCTAAAGCTGCCACATCCTTCCTATAGTGAGGCGAGCAGAACTGAATACAATATTCCCAGTGTGGTCTAACCAGAGTTTTATAGAGCTACAGCATAACCTCATGGCTCTTAAACTCAATTCCCCTGCCAATGAAAACCAACACACCATACGCCTTCTTAACAACGCTATCAACTTGGGTAGCAACTTTGGGGGATCTGTGGATGTGGACCCCAAGATCCCTCTGTTCCTCCACACTGCCAAGAATCCTGCCATTAACCCTGTATTCTGCATTCAAATTTGACCTTCCAAAATGAATCACTTCGCACTTTTTCAGGTTGAATTCCATCTGTCACTTCTTTGCCCACCTCGGCATCCTATCAAGGTCCCGTTGCAACCTACAACAGCCCTCTGCACTATCCACAACTCCACCATCGGCAAGCTTACTAACCCACCCTTCCACTTCCTCATCCAAGTCATTTATCATGATCACAAAGAGTAGAGGTCCCAGAACAGATCCCTGCAGAACACCACTGGTCATAGAGCTCCAGGCTGAATATTTTCCATCTACTACCACCCTCTGTCTTCTGTTGGTCAGCCAATTCTGTATCCAGACAGCCAAATTTTCCTGAATTCCATGCCTCCTTACTTTCTGAATGAGCCTACCATGGGGAACTTTATCAAATGCCTTGCTAAAATCCATATACACCACATCCACTGCTCTACCTTCATCAATGTGTTTTGTCACATCCTCAAAGAATTCAGTAAGGCTTGTGAGGCATAACCTGCCCCTCTCAAATCCATGCTGACTATTTCTAATCAAACCGTGCTTTTCCAAATTATCATAAATACTATCTCTCCGAATCCTCTCCAATAATTTGCCCACCACAGAAGAAAGACTGACTGGTCTGTAATTCCCAGGGTTATCCCTATTCCCTTTCTTGAACAAAGGAATAACATTTGCCAACCTCCAATCATCTGGCAGTACTCCAGTGGACAGTGAGGATGCAAAGATCATCACCAACACGGCAGCAATCTCTTCCCTCGCTTCCTGTAGCAACCTGGGTATATCCTTCTGGAGAAGGGTCCCGACCCGAAACATCAGCTTTCCTGCTCCTCTGATGCTGCCTGGCCTGCTGTGTTCCTCCAGCTCCACACTGTATTATCTTATGTCTATGCCTTCCTGACTCCCTTGCTGTCTCTTCTAATTTTGGCTGTACAGTTCCCCCTGCTGAACCTTCTCTCTGGATCTGAATCCTCTTGCCAGGTTAGTTTAAGCCCTCTCCAACAGTACTGGCAAGCCTTGCCACAAGGATGCTGGTCCTTTCGGTTCAGACACCACTTGACTGCCTTGTACAAGTCTGTCTGCTCCCAAAGGCACTGCCGATATTGCATAAATCTAAAGCCCTCCTTCCTGTGGTATCTCTCCAACCATGCATTCAGCTGGATGAACCACCTATTTCTGTTTTTTTTTCCTTTATTCATACATGGGATGAGGGTGTTGCTGCCTAGGCAGCATTTATTACCCTCCTTAATTGCCTAGAGGGCAGATAAGAGTCAGCCACATTGTGGGTCTGGAGTCACACGTAGGCCAGACCAGGTAAGGATGGCAGTTTCCAGTTTTTTAAGGATGGCATTAGTGAACCAGATGGGTTTTTCCAACAATCGACAATGAATTCATGGTCATCATTAGACTCTTAATTCCAGATATTTATTGAATTCACATTCCACCATCTGCCATGGCGGGATTTGAACCCGAGTCCCCAGAACATTATCTGTGTCCCTGGATTAACAGTCAGTGATAATACCACTAGGCCATTGCCTCCCCTGCACGTTGCACCAGGAGTAATCCAGAGGTTATTGTCTTTTGGGTCCTCTATTTAATCTGCTTCCTATCTCCCTAAATTTTACTCTTAGGACCTCATTCCTTTTTCTATCTGTCATTATTACCAGTGTGTACTATGATCACTGTTTGTTTGCCCTTCCCCTTCAGAATGCCCTGCAGCCATTCAGTGACATCCAAGCCTAGCATCTGCGAGGCAGCACACCATCCTGGAGTGTCTTTTGCAGCCGCAGAAACACCTGTCACTTCCCCTTGCAAATAAATTCCCTGCCATTCACATTCCTCCCCTCTGGTGCAGCGCAGCACAGCCCACCCTTGGTGCCTGCTGCTTTCATCTGTATAGTTATCTCCCCCATCAGTATCCATAATGGTATATCTGTTAAGAGAGGGGCACAGTTTTAGGGCATCTGCACTACCTGCCTTCCTGTACTCTGTCTAATAGCCACTCGGGCCTTTTCTGTCTTCACCTGTGGTGTGACCACACCACTGAACGTGCTATCCATGACGTGGCCAGCATTGTGAGTCCTCCAGCGAATTCACCTGCAGCTTCAGCATCAAACTGTAGTTCGCCAGTAACTGTGGCTGGACACACTCCTACACTCAGTCAGAAGGGACACTGAAACTACCATGATTTACCACATATCTTAAGGGGACCATATCGGGGGGCAAGCTCTGCTGCCAAGACTTCACTTACCCCCTTAGTAACTTCCTTTTATAAAGAAAAATTAATAATGCCTACATAATATTACAAACTGAATTTCTTAAGCTAACTTTGCTTTCCTTGCCATACTTTGCTTGCTTACATTCCTTTATTATATTGGTCCTGATTTTCACTTATTCCTGTTGTTTCTCAGTTAATCTCATCTTCCAAAAAGCATACACTTTTTAAAATTATGAGCCAATCAACCCACCACTTTCCTGCGATGTCACATTTTGATTTGGTTTTCCTCAATCAGCAGTCCCCTTGTGCTTCAGCTTTAAACCAGAACTTCCCTCTGATTCCCTGTTCCAACAAAGGGCTACTGGACTCAAACATTAACTAACTTAGTTTTCCTGTCTAGAAATTCTGCCAGACTTGCTGTGTTTCTCCAACACTTTAGTTTTGTTACTCCTTGCCCTCTGCTTGTTTGAAGCTGAAGTACCAGGCCCCTGATCCTGGGACCCATAGTCTAAAGATACGAGAGAGGCCATTTAGAATGGAGATGAGAACTTTCTTCCCCCAGAGTGTTGGGCCTATGCAGAATTCTCTGCCACAGAAAGTAATTGAGGCCAAAACCTTTGAATGTTTTCAAGAAGGAGTTAGATATAGTTCTTGAAGCTAAAAGGTTCAAAGGGTACAGGGAGAAAGCAAGAACAGTTGGATGATCAGCCGTGATATTGAATGGTGGAGCAAGCTTGATGGCTAGAATGGTCTACTGCTCTTATTTTCTATGTTTCCTCTATTGTCCATCAAAAATCTATCTTGGCCTTGAATAAATTCAATGATCCAGCCTTCGTTGTTTTCAGGGAAAAAGAATTCTATGGGCTAACAAACTGAAGAAGGATTTCGCCTTATTTCTGTCTTAAAAGTGAGGCCTTTAAGCTGCATCTCCTAGTTCTAGTCTTTCTCTAAAAGGAAGTATCCTGTCAGAATATCCTCCTCCTGTTGTGTTCCCTCTGGATCTTGTATGTTTCAATAATATCTCCCCTCATTCTTCTAAACTCTATATTTCATTCCCTCCATAATAAATAACAACATCCCATTTGCCTTCCTAATTACTTGCCAGACCTTCAGACTATCGTAAATAAAAGGAAGAACTGAAGATGCTGGAAATCTGAAACAAGAACAGAATTGCCAGAGAAACTCTTTGTGGAGAGAAAACAGAGTTAACGTTTCGCATCCAGTGACCCTTCTTTAGAACCTGCAGGCTGTCTTATTGTGATTGATGTACCAGGACACTCAGATCCCTTTGTACGTCACAGTAGTACAGTCTCTCACAATTTAAACAGAAAGTTAGTGGGGACCGCATGGTAAACTGGCTCAGAAAAATGAGACAGACACTTTGCTCTTGACTTTGAGTGGCATTCCACACCCTTCAGAGAAGCTATCAAATTAATCAGATATTTCCTTCCAGGAACAGATGGAGGGTAAAGGGTTCTACAGTTGCAATTGAGAAAAGAATAGGAAGGCTTTTGTTACTAGATCCTGTGAAACCAAGCTAGGGGCAGTAGCTTTGTGCCAGCTAACTCCAAGTACATTGAGGCTGTGTGTTATGGATCTCAAGGGCATGGTGACAAGATACACATCACATGACCCAGTGTCAGAATGAACAACTGACACAGGGTTGTTTCCTTTGTGTATGATGTGCTTCAAGGGCAACAGCCTGGATACTCCACTTTCCTCATTCATGCACTTGCAGAATAATTACATTTGCAGTTTGTTCAGGATGTGGAATACGTAGTTTATTGGAAACTGGTTTCCTATTGCCGGGTTGTGGAAATATTCAAGGTGAAGAACGAGCAGAAGGACGTGTAGTACTGATTCACATTGGATTAGTTTCACAAAGACCAAGCAAAGTGGTCACGTTTGCAGATGTTTTCAAAATGTGATGTGTGGGGTGGTGTGTAAGTAGAATTGGGAGATGATCAGAAATCACAATAAGTTGGTCAGAATGTTTAGACAGGATAGAAGAGAGCTGAAATTTCATCCTGCTTAGTAATCAGCATCAGGACAATTAGTAGCAAACATAGTCGCAGTTTGGGCTCATCTAGGGTCAAGACACTAAACTCAACGTACCCAACCAATGCAGGGCAGCAGTCATTGGAGCCATTTATCCCCGCAAGTCTACTTTGCCATTTAATAAGATTATGACAGACCTTCTAAATACATTTTCCTGTATAATCCCCATATCTCAAACTGGCTGCAAAAGACAGGCAACAATTTGAACAAGTTTATTTTTCGTATGACCAGGTAATAATTTATATCCCATATCACTTTGTCTTTAATATTTAGGTATCTGTCGATCTGTGTCTTAAACATGCTTAATGACTGATCTTCCACAGTTCTCTAGGGTAAAAAAATCCAAAGATTCAACAACTTCTGGATGAAGCAATTCTTCTATTTCAGGTCTAAATTGCCTACTTCGTATTCTGTAACTGTCCCCTGAGTCCTGACTTGCCCCTCCAGCCAGGGAAACATCCTTCCTGCATCAACCCAGCAGGAGCCAAAATAAGTTTAAGTCTCCAACAAGGCAGTGGTCAAACTGTATTGTGAATGCTGGATCCCAACTGCTCACTAGGAAACAAAGAGACAGATTAAAATGCAAGAAACAAAGCAAATCTCCAAGTGTCAGGCAATTGATTTCCCATGAGTGGAGATGTATGTGTTGTAATTTTTGGAAGGTTTAAAAGATGGTTCTTGAAATGGAAAGCAGTAAATCTAGAATACTTGACACTGAGAGTAGGGGAAGAGAATCAAGCTGGTATAAGATCAACCTAAGTCTGTCTCATCTCTGAAAGTTTTCATACATGTGGTGAACACTCGGATTGGATTCTACAATGAAGTTGTACAGGTGTAAAACACCAAAAACAGCAATCTTTTCCAAGCGGAGGCTTGGAGACCGCCTTGTGGAACACCTACACTCTGTTTGCGACAAACGACTGCACCTCCCAGTCGCGAACCATTTCAACTCCCCCTCCCACTCCTTGGACGACATGTCCATCCTGGGCCGCCTCCAGTGCCACAACGATGCCACCCAAAGGTTGCAGAACAGCACCTCAGATTTCGCTTGGGAACCCTGCAGCCCAATGGTATCAATGTATACTTCACAATCTTCAAAATCTCCCCTCCCCTGACCGCATCCCAAAACCAGCCCAGCTCGTCCCCGCCTCCCTAACCTGTCCTTCCTCCCAACTATCCTCAAGCCCCACCCCCACCTCCTACCTACCAGCCTCATCCTGCCCCCTTGACCTGTCCATCCTCCCTGGACTGACCTATCCCCACCCTGAATCCCCACCTACACTCACCTTTACTGGCTCCATCCCCACCTCTTTGACCTGTCTGTCTCCTCTCCACCTATCTGCTCCTTTATCCATCTTCCATCCGCCTTCCCCTCTCTCTCTATTTATTTCAGAATCCCCTTCCCCTCCCCCACTTCTGAAGAAGGGTCCAGACCCGAAACGTCAGCTTTCCTGCCCCTCTGATGCTGCTTGGCCTGCTGTGTTCATCCAGCTCTACACCTTGTTATCTCAGATTCTCCAGCATCGGCAGTTCCCACTATCTCTGAATCTTTTAAGATGCAGTTGTATACTGCAATGGTGAGTGGACTGTAGGCTTTTCCTGTATGGTTCCTGAAAGGTGTTCCTCGAATCTTGCCAAGCGCAGATTTCAGTGATGGACAGAATGTATTGTGCTAATGCTATGTATGTGACCTGAAATTGCATTAACTCTAACTATTTTTTTAATATCCTGCAGTTCCAGATAGTTATGTGAATCTGAGCTTTGTTAAGTATGACTCCTATGAGAAAGGCACAGATGCTATGGTGGTGCATGTGTATGTGAAGGAGATCTGCAAATCTGTATCCAAGGTGCTTTTCCGAGAACAGGATTTCACACTCATTTTTCAAACAAGGTGAGCACGGGGAGTGTGCAGGCTGCGACTGGGGAATTTTGTGGCTAACTGTAATGTGTGTTGGTTCAGCAGGTAACATCTGCACCTCTGAATTGGAAGATTGTGGGTTAAATCTATATTTCAAAGACTAAAACATGTAATCCAGGCTGGCAGTCCAGTGCTGAGAGAGATGCACTATTGAAGGTGCCTCTTTTCAAATGAAATCTTAAAATTTTATCTGCTGTTAGGTGGGGTAAAAGATTCTGTGTGATGAACGTGTGTCAAGACCCTGAGAGCTTTATTGCAGGTCTTCAGCTGTCTTGAATGATTTAAAGATTGGGCCTAGATGCAACAAGGATGGGTCTCCAATTGCAATGAAGTGAGAACAAGGCTGCAGCTGTTTTCTTTTGATGGACACTGTTGATGGGTTTTCCGCTTTTTGCTCCTTTTTCCTCCTATCCCGTGTCACGGGACCATGTGGCAGGAAGCCTCTGGCCAATCAAGAATTGTGCCCTTCAGAAGCTTGTGTGAAACCCACCAACTGAGTGCTTGTGTGATTCCTATTAAAGCCATGTACCTTGAAAGCAATAAGGAATGAATCGAGGAGAGCATCAATGGCCCATGCACTATCAGATGTCGGAATTCCATTGGGTTTTCTTTGGCAGTAGGGGAGGACTTTCCTCAGTGCATCAGCTGTGTGCCGCTAATGAGTCAGGAAGTCCCATAACAATGTACCTGCTCCATATGTGCTAATGATCCCACCTTGCGGGGGGCCAGCTATCTTCAGTTGTTGGAGCTGAGCAGGAAGTCAGGAGTTGGATCCTAGCTAGCTGCACAGTTCAATTAAAGCTTTCAAGGTCTAGTTATTTTTGTAAGCTACTGGTAGGATATCTAGTGGTTACCTGATGTCACTTGGTCACTCTGATTTGGGACTGGGATTAAGTTTTTAAGATGGTCTTCTTTTGAATTATCTACTTTGGACAATAATGTTTTTCAGCAGTTTGTACATTTTCATTTAAATTGCTAATGATACATTATTATGTTAAGATGAATTGGTTGTTTAGTAGTTGGTATCATCCAGATTACTGTTCTGATTTTGTTTTATAAAGCCATGAGCCATTTCTGCGTATCCATCCTGACTGTGGACCAAACACAATCTTCAAATGGCAGGTTAAAGTTCGGTAAGAATTGCAGTAAATCTTTTTAGCTTCTACCACATATTACTTTCCTGTTAGGAAACACTGTAAATTATATCACAATCATATCAGAAAGAGAAGATATTCAGGGTAGAACTCTTGGTAATCCTCAGCCTTGGTCCAAGAGCTTTGTGCAGTAAACATGGCATTTTCTACAATTTTGTTGTTTTGAACCATTTGAGATGGTTTCAGCACATTGTTATTGGATGAACAGAGTTCCAAAAGAAATAATTAAGTACAATCTAGTAACCAATTTAAGGGTGCAAGCTGATATAGATTGGGACCTGAATATTCAAGAATATGTCACTTTGGAAGGACAGGAAATTCTGAAAAAGTATAAGAGTGGGTCTGTTTATGAATTATGGTAATAGCACAACCAAGACGGATGAACTAAGTTTAGGAAAGCAAGATGTCGAAGCATTTTGGGTAGAGATGAGAAATCATAAAGGTATAAGTCACTTGTGGGACTGGTGTGCAGGCTCTCTTACAATAACCACACAAACTGCAGTACAGGAGCTGGGCAGTAATAGTGGGGAGACTTTTAATTTGTGTAAAGAATGAAAGAATTAGGTGGGCAAAGGTGGCCTGATTGGGAAGTTCCAGGAATGTTTTCAGGAAAGCTTTTTGGACAGTATGTTGTGGAGCTAAGTAGAAAGCGGGCTGTACTGAACAACATAGTATAATTAATAACCTCAGTGAAAGAATTTCAAGGTAGCAGAGATCATATGATTAAATTTTTCTTTCAGTTTGCAAGAGAGGAGAGTGGTACCGAGACTGGTATTTTAATATTAAATAAGGACAGTTGAGGGCATGATCATGCATACGACTGCATGCACCTACAGATTAGGAGCAAGTATATGCCACCAGACCCATTGAAGTTACTGTGCCATTCAATAAGATTGTGCCTGGTCTGATTACCCCACATTCCTGCTTACCCAATAAGATTTCACCTTTTTACTTCTTGGGAATCTATCTATCTCTGCTTTAAAAGTATTCAAAGATTCTGCTTTCAGCATTTTTGTTTTGTGGAAGAGTGTTCCAAAGCTACTGCGCCCTCAGATGAGAAATGTTTTCTCGGTCATAAATGCAAAAGCCTTTATTTTTAAAACTATGATCCTTAATTATAAAGAACACAGCTGGCTAATACAAACCGGCACATTAGTTTAAAGATTGTCAACAGAGATGTGGTGGCAGACATTAAGGCCATATTTCAGAATACATAAAATAGATACATTCCAAGGATGGACCCATCATCTGTTAACTAAACCAGTTAGCAATAGTGTCATATTTAAAGAAAAATATATAATTGGTGCAAAGATGAGTGGCATGTCAAAAGACTGGATAAAATATTTTTAAACAAAAAACTAAAAGGTAAGGAAGAAAAAGTACGAGAAAGTTAGCCAGAAATACAAAAACAAATGAATAGAGTTATCGATATTTAAATAAAGTTAAAGTGAGCATTGGTCCTACAGAAAGTGAGTCTGATGAATTAATAATGGAAAATAGGGAGGTGGCAGGTGAATTGAACAGCTGTTTTGTCTCAGACTTCACTGTAGAGAAAACAAAAATTCCAGAAATAGCCATCATTCCGGAGATGGAAATGTGCGAGGAACTCAAAATGACAATCACCAAGAAAGTGGAAGTAAATTACTGGAGCTGTGGGCTAATAAAGCCTGGGAGCTTTTTTTCTCTTTATTCATTAACAGGATGAGGGTGTCGCTGACCAGGCAGCATTTATTACCCATCCCTGAGCGCCCAGAGGGCAGGTCAGAGTCAACCACATTGCTGTGGGTCTGGAGTCACATGTAGGCCAGAGCAGGTAAGGATGGCATTAAAACAGAAGTTGCTGGAAAAGCTCAGCAGGTCTGGCAGCATCTCTGAAGAAAAAATCAGAGTTAACGTTTCGGGTCTGGTGACTCTTCCTCAGAACTGATGGTAACTGGGAAAACGTTGGTTTATATGCAGAAAATAGGGAGGGGGTGGAGTAGGGAGTAAACAATAGGATAGAGCCCGAAGAGAGAAGAGCAGTTGGATAGACAAAGGAGTTGATGATCTGGCTGGGAGGGTGAATAGTTGTTAATGGGGACTGTTAGCGACTAACAATAGGTAGTGTGTAATGGCAGGCTATTTGATAACAAGGCCTGTTGTGTGGGCTAGGGGGCTGGGGGATCTGGTGGAGTTGAGGCCCTAAAATTATTGAACTCTACATTGAGTCCAGAGTGCTGCAGGGTCCCCAAGGGGAAAATGAAGTGTTGTTCCTCCAGCTTGTACTGAGCTTCACTGGAAGACTGCAGCAAGCCAGAGACAGAGATGTTGGCCAGGGAACAGGATGGCGTGTTAAAGTGGCAGGCAACAAGTAGCTCAGGGTCTTTTTAGCGAGTAGAACGGAGGTGTTCTGCGAAACAGTCACCCAGTCTACGCTTTGTTTCCCCAATGTAGAGGAGATCACATTGTGTGCAGCAAATGCAGTAGACTGGATTCTGGGAAGTGCAGGTGAAGTGTTGCTTGACCTGGAATGTATGTTTGGGCCCTTGGATACTAGGAAGGGAAGAGGCAAATGGGCAGGTGTTACACCTTTGCTGGTAGCAGGGGAAGGTGCTGTGGGGGGTTTGTTGGGGGTGAAGGAAGAGTGGACCAGGGTTTCCCGCAGGGAACGGTCCCTGCATAAGGTGGACAAGAGAGGGGAGGGGAATAGGTATCTGGTGATGCCATCTCACTGGACGTGGCGGAAATGGCGCCTGATGATCTTCTGGATGTGGATACTGGTGAGATGGTAAGTACAGACAAGGGGAACCCTATTACTGTTGCAGGAGGGAAGAGAAGGAGTGAGTGGAAGTGTGCGGGAGTTGGGGTCGGACCCGGTTGAGGGCCCTGTCAACAACAGTGCTGGGGAATCCTCGGTTGAGGAAGAAGGTGGACGCGTCGGAGGCTCCCTTGTCAAAGTTGGCCTCATCTAAACATATGCGATGGAGACGGAGGAATGAGAGAATGGGATGGAGTCTTTATAGGAAGCAGGGTGTGAGGATGTATAGTCCAAGTATCTGTGGGAGTCAGTGGGTTTATAGTGGATACTAGTGGCCAGTCTATGCCCAGAAATGGAAACAGATGTTGAGGAAGGGAAGGGAGAAGTCAGAGAGAGACCAGGTGAAAGTGAGGGCAGGGTGGAAGTTGGAAGCGAAATCAATGAACTTTTCCAATTCCGGACAAGAGAGGGAAGCAGCACCGATGATATCATAGGTAAATTGGAGAAAGAGTTGGGTGGGGGCAGGAATAGGACTGGAACAAGGAATGTTCCAGGAAACCCCATGAAGAGATGGGCATAACTGGGGCCCATGCCATGGCCACTCCTCTGACCTGACAATAGGTAAGGATGGCAGTTACTCTCCCTAAAGTGAACCAGATAGGTTTTTCCGGCAATCGATTCATGGTCATCATTAGATTCTAATTCCAAATATTGTGTTGAATTCAAATTCCCCCATCTTCCATGGCAGGATTCGAACCTGGGCCCACTGACGTTTTCTGTGTCTCTGGATTAACAGTCCAGCGATAATATCACTAGGCCATTGCCTCCCCAAATTTTTTCATCGTTGAGTCAGCATAAAAGAACTGGCTAGTGTGATAGGGAATTTTGGGAAATTAAGACCAAAATATCAACTAAGTCTGGGGCATGTTCCGTTCAATTGGAAATCTCACTGAAAAGGGAGAGGCAGAAGGCAGGAAACTACGGGCTAGTTAGCTTAACAACTGTCATAAAGATGATGTTGGAAGCTCTTATTAAAGAAGCTGTAATAGGATGCTTAGAAAAGTTTACAATAATTGGACAAGAGTCCCAATGGTTTTATGAAAGGGAAATAGTTTAACTAACAGAAGTATTTAAAGGAAGTAACATGCTAAAGGAGAATCGCATAAAGGATGTACTGTGTGTAAGTTTCTGGTTGGCAAGTTGTAACGAGTGGAGTCCCTTGGGTGTCGGTGCTGAGGTCTCAACTGTTTATAGTTTACATAAATGACTTGAATGAAGAGACTGAAGATATATTGCTAAATTTGTTGATAGCACAAAGATAAATAGGAAAATGTATTGTGAAGAGAATATGATACTGCAAAAGGATATAAATGGATGTGAGTGGGCAAAGTTGATGGCAAGTTAAGTATTACGTGGAAAATGTGGAATTGTCCATTTTGTTAGGCAAAATAGAAATGAAGCACCTTATCTGAAACATGGGAGATTGCAGATTTGAAATGGACATCCTACTGAATGAATTGCAAAAGGTTACTATGCAGGCTACGTAAGTTACTATACCATAAGAAAGAAAGCTAACAATGTTGTTGTTTGTTGCAAGAGGAATGAAATACAAAGCAAGGAGGCTTGTGCTTCAGTTATACAGACCATTGGCAAGATCTCATCTGAAATACTGTGTACAGTGTTGATCAGTTTATTTAAGGAAGGGTGTAAATGCATCAAAGGCAGTTTAGAGAAACTTTACTAGACTAATTCCTGAAATGAGCCAATTGTCTTATGAAGAAAGTCTGGGCAGGATGCAGGAGTTCAGAAGGCCAAGAGGTAACAGTTGAAATGCACAAGATCTTGATAGGCAGGATGTGGAGAGAATGTTTTCTTTTGTGAATTCATGGTCACTATTTAAAGATGGGTCACCCATTTAAGGATTGAGGTGGAGAAAATTTTCTGAGGGTCATAAATCTTTAGAGCTCTCTTCCTCAAGACAGTGGAAGGAGAGTCTTTAAATATTTTAAGGCAGTTGTGGATAGCTTCTTGGTAAGCAAGAGGGTGAAAGGTTATCAGATGGGAAGGAATGCAGATTAATCGGATCAGCCATGATCATATTGAATGATGGAGTAGGCTTGAGAGTCTGAGTTGCCTATTCCTGCTCCTAATTTGTATACTCGTGTTTCACTGCCAACTCTGCACTCGTTAATTGGCAGTAACTAACTTTTCTATCATAGAAATGTGTGGACTCAAGGCAATG